CATGGAAGACTTTTATTGCTCCATCTATTTTGAATGATAGTTTGCTGGGTAGAGTATCCTGGGGTTGAAGTTATTTCATTCAGTGCCCGGAAGATCTCACCCCACCTCTTCTTGCTTTTAATGTTTCTGTTGAGAAGTCTGCTGTGATTTTGATGGGTTTACCTTTGTATGTTATTGTTTTTTCTCTCTTACAGCCTTCAATATTCTTTCCTAGTTTCTGAACTTGTTGTTTTAATGATGATATGTCGTGGGTAGTTCTATTTTGATCTGGTCTGTTTGGTGTCTGGAGGCCTCTTGCATCTGTATGGGAATATCTTTCTCTAGATTTGGGAAATTTTGTTATTATTTTGTTGAATATATTACGCATTCCCTTTGCTTGCACCTCTTCTCCTTCGATGCCCATGATTCTCAAGTTTGGTCTTTTGATGGAGTCAGTGAGTTCTTGCATTTTCTTTTCACAGGTCTTGAGTTGTTTAATTAATAGTTCTTCGTTTTTCCTTTAATTACCATTTCATCTTCAAGTTCTGAGATTCTGTCTTCTGTTTGTTCTATTCTGCTGGATTGGCCTTCCGTTTTGTTTTGCAGTTCTGTTTCGTTCTTTTTTCTGAGGTTTTCCATATCCTGGTTTCTCTTTAATGTTGTCTATTTTTGTCCTGAGTTCATTTATCTTTATTATTTGTTCTCTTTTTCACTTTGGTGTTTATACAGTGCTTCTATGGTTTCCTTTATTTCTTCTTTTGCTTTTTCAAATTCTCTATTTTTGTCTTGGAATTTCTTGAGTGTCTCCTGTACATTTTGGTTGACCCTATCCAGTATCATCTCTATAAAATTCTCATTGAGTACTGTAGTATTTTTTTTTAATTTCTTGTGGGCTTCATTGGGTCCTTTGGCATAGTTTATCTTCATTTTGTTGGAGTCTGGATCTGAGTATCTGTTTTCTTCATTCCCTCTGGTTCCTGTACTAATTTTTTGCTGTGGGGAAACTGGTTTCCCTGTTTTTTCTGTCTTCCTCATTGTCCTTGGTGTTGTTATGTCCCTGTACTGTGTGCAATTAAGTATTTTCTAGCTTGTAATAATAACAATGGTAATTTAGAATGGAAGGGTGAGAGAGATGGAAAGCAAGAAGTTAAAGAAAAGGGGAAAACAAATACAAGAGAAAAAAACAGAACAACAAACAACAAAAGTTTCAAAGGTATAAACAGGGAGTGTGTACTAATCAACAGTAAGCTGAACAGACATTAGAGAGACAGAGAGAGGATTGAAAATAAAAAATAAAAAATAAATAAAAGAAAAAGAAAAATAAAATAAAATGAAAAAAAATCTCCAAGTTCAAATGCATAAGTTTCAGTCTTAATAATTTTGGTGTTAGTCCTCAGCCTCCAATCCTGGAGATGGTGTCAGATGTTGTTCTCATTGTCTCATCAAAGGGGAAAAAAAACAAAAAAACAAAACAAAACAAACAAAAAACACAAAGTCTCCCAAGTTCAAATGCAATACAGTTTCAGTAAGTTTTTCAGCTTGCACATGTAGGTTGGTTGTTGTCTCATGAAAGGTAGGGAGAGAGAAAAAAAAGAGTCTGGAGACAGTTCTGAGAATGGTATCTGCAGGTGTCGCTCACCTGCCTGCTGCTGTCAGCCTGCTGTTGCTGGCGGCATTATTTATGCAGATCTCTGGGGTGAGCTTTGCACTCACCTGGCCCCACAGGCTTTGTTTGCTCAGAGTTCTCCTGTGCGCCAGCCACTGTTACAAGCTTTCCCCTTTCCAAGCACACTGGGGGGGGGTGACACTGCACCCGCTTTCTCTGGGCTGCATGTTTGTTTACAGCTCACATGGGAAGTGGGTCTTCCCCCCTTTCCTGTGGAGTTTTCCTCCCACTGCCGCTTTTACAAGTTTTCCCGCTCCTGGTTGCTGGGCATGTGCCGCCGCTCCTGCCTTCTCTAGCCAGCTTGTTGTGAGGGATTCCCCGCCCCCCGTCTTTGGCACTCAGGGCACCCCGCCCTCTTTGCTAGCATTTTTTTTGTTGTTATTGCTTATTATTCAGTTTTTTTTTCTTTTTTCCTTGGGTGGGGGTTGGTCTGTCCAGGGGGCTATGCTGATCTGGCCCAGGGTTGTCTGTGGGAGTACCACATGCCACTTAGCTCACCTTGTGGTCCATGTCTTCCTAAGCCGTCTGGGTGCTGGCATCTGGCAGCAGCGTGGGAGCCCTCCTGGTTTCTCCATTTAACGTGGAGTGGAGATGCTATGTGTGGGGTGGGGTGTGAAGGAGTCAAAATCTTGCCTCTTCTCAGTGGCTTTTCCTGCAGCATCTCTCCAAGATTTTACTTTAGGAGGCACACTTTCTGTTCCTCCATCTAGCTGCCATCTTGGAATCTCTCAATGATCATTCTAAAGAATTAAGCAGAATCTATAAAGAGAACCAAGGAAGAGGAGTTTGAGGTACAAAAGCTATCTGGAGGGTTCCTTCAGGTAATTCTCTCTTGTTCAGCCATGGATCCATGTGGTCAGCAGAAGGCCTGTATCTGAGATGTGCATGTTACCTCTGTCATCCTCTTTTTTTCTTATCTGCTTTGTGAACCTTCTTCTCTCATGCAGAACAGCTCAAGTAAATGGCCCACCAACTGCCCAGACATACTTGGGCATACCTAAATCCCAAATGCATCTGCAGCTTTTAATGCAGTAAGGATCCTGGATCACTATAAGGTATGTAGAAGAAGTATAGGTTAGCAACTTAAGAGGAAACTGGAGTGTTCCCTGAAACCCAGTGGAAGAAGTGGGGCTTGGGCTGTGTTTTGCAAGGACAGGTACGAGGAATGTAGCAGGGTACACCAGTGGAAGGGACAGAATGTGGAAAGGAATAGAGTTAGAATAATCTCATTTAAAGAGAAGAGATAAAGCCTGTCTTCTTGGAATAGTTGATTAAGAAGTCAGCATCTATAAAGTAGGCTGAAGTTATGGAGAACCTGGGAAAGTCAGGAAAGGAATTTAGGGTTTTGTTACTGAGCACTGTAGAGAGATACTGTAGGGTAATGGACAAAGAAGGGATGTGATTAAAATAACAAAAATTTTTAAGAAAAGAATATAATAAGAATGTTTAATAATAAAAGCTGTTTGCAGAAGGTCTGGACATCCTGAGTTTGAGATGATGGCAGATTATACAAATGTCAGTATCTGACAGAAATTGAGGCTGGCATCCTGGAAGCATCCAGGGTTGATGACTTAGTCAACACATAGAGGAGTCACATCAGTAATGAGATTGAGTAAGTTAAGAGACCATTTTTCTGCAGTCTTGAGGCTCTGTCAACATTTGAAAGGACATGAGTTATGTTAATAAACATGCACTTTAAAGAGTCTTTGTTATTTTTTTCACTCATTCTGACTTGACTAATATTTATAAAATGATTCATTGAGAAATATCTTTGGTGTCTCCACTCTTGGTTTGGCCATATGTATCTTGCATGTTGGTAGGTATATAATTGATGTTTGCTGCATATTGACTGAGTATTGTGAATACTTTACTTTTGATAAGCATCTTTTATGTTTGATAGAGATTTTTCTATGTAGATAATCAAGAATAAGTCAGTGAAATTCCCAAATATGTGTATACACATAAATAAACTTTATTTCATTTTATTGTTCCCAAAGGTTAAGATATACAAACAAGGAATAAAATTAAAATTATTAAATTTCTTTGGGATGATTTATGTCTTAATTTTCACCTGCCCTATAATTAGAAATTTTGAACTCTTTAGTTTTTTTAAGATAAAATTATTGCCTGAATAAACTTCAGAAATTACATCATTAACCCAGAGACCTTACTAAGCCAAAAACAACGTGATTGCTACAAGTGCCTTTACAAACAGACAAATAAATAAAGAAGAAAGTTTAAAATAATTTGAAAATGATTTATTGTTGGCCACCTCTGTAGTTAGAGATTCAAGTATTATTACTTTACTTTAGTGCAACAAGGGAGGACAGTAAGTTGCTGTGGGCTAAAGGTAAATTATGATCTATTGCAAAGGAGGAAGGAAATGTACTGAGGAAAGATAAAGGAGTTGGGAGTAAGCCATGTAGTTACTGAAGTATAGTTTTAAATAATGCATTCAAAAATCTTTGCCGTGACCCTTGCTGGGAAAGTCTGCTGTAAACTGTGAAACAGATGACATTCTTAAATCTTTGATAGTTAAAGACTAACATACTTAGTATGTTCAAAGTTACATGGATATGACAGAGTATAATACAAATTAGGGTATCTAGAGTCACAAGTTTTCTTTTGTTCAACTTTGCTTCATAATCTTATCCTGGATATACCCAGTTTTAGACTTTGAGGGGCTCATTTAATATACCAAAATTTAGGATAATCATGCCAAGATAATTTTGGTCTTCCACTCTGTTTACATTATTTGTGAATTGAGTTGAACTCTTCATATGGGAAATCAGTTACGTGATTCAGAACCTAATAACCATCTTTTATTATTTGAAGTAAGAAAAAGTGGTAAAATTTCATCTTCAAAAGCCATTGTTATGCAGGGAAGGAAAAGACATATATCAAGGGTGATCTATGCAACAAAATCCAAGCTCTATATTTTCATGGATATTATCTCACTTAATCTTCCTAAAATCCTAAGATGAAAGACCATGCTACTTTTTTTTGACTAAGAAAACTGAAACACACTCGTAAGTATGTTACTCAAAGAAACTTGGTTTGAATATGATGAGACTATGACTTAAACATAGGTTTAGTTTAATGACAATTCCTGTATCTTCCACACCTTACTACTCAATCCTGGACTTCTTTTATTACTACCTTCTTGATGTGAAAAAAATAATATCCAAAAAACCCTACCCCTAAACAAAAATCAAAACTAAAATGCAAAAATTTTTGCATATTGATCCTATGGCTTGCTTTCCTATGTTCTTTCACAGAATTCTTTGGCTGAATAACGATGACATTTTTATTAACTATTAAGATAACTAAGCATATTTTCTTTGGGTTGCTGTAGGTTCACTACCAGAAGTAATTGTCACCCATCTTCGAGTAGCTGCCCATGCCCAAGACACAGTGTTGGCTCTGGAAGACACTGTGGACTGGTACCCTGGAGATGAAGTTGTCATAATCAGTGGAACAGGTGTTGAAGGTGCCCAACTGATAGAAGAGATTGTCATTGTGGAGACTGTGCACAATGCAGATCTCCATCTGAGGTTCCCATTGAGGTACTGAGTGTCAGTTGGCTAAGTCCATAGGGAAGATGGCTCCTTAACTGCGTTGGATTCTGGATATTTGTCTTTCAATGATGTGTTTTATGTTAAATAATGCTAGACATCTCAACAAGAAAATTATAAGCATGAGATGTTTTGAAGATTTCTTAAATCTAAGTTTAAATTTCTCTTATATGACTCTAGTACTTTTGCATTACAGCAAGTGGTCCGTGTAATAGCCAGCATAGTTCCCAATTTTTTAATATACGTATGCACATAGTTTGCTGTTTGATATTTGAGTTTCTAAAGAAAGAGACCTCAAAGGAAGAATAACAATGATTACTAATAAAATTTGTAGTGATGGCCTCAGATATATCTTCCACTTTTTCTTTTTTTTTTCAGATATTCTCACAACTTCACTGAGAACTGGGTGGCTGGAGAACGCCACATTTTAAAGGCCACAGTGGCTCTGCTCAGTAGGAGTATTACCATACAAGGAAATCTCACTAATGAGAGGATAGAGCTCCTCACTTCATGCCAGGAGGTGAATGCTTCACAAGGTAGAGCAGTATTTTGTTAGAAAATCCAATAGACTGATAAAGAATTTCTCACTGTCAAACAGTGTGCGGTAATCCTATGGTAGACCTTTTTTTTTTTTCATTTTTCTTTTATTATTCATATGTGCATACAAGGCTTGGGTCATTTCTCCCCCCTGCCCCCACCCCCTCCCTTACCACCCACTCCTCCCCCTCCCTCTCCCCCCACTCAATACCCAGCAGAAACTATTTTGCCCTTATTTCTAATTTTGTTGTAGAGAGAGTATAAGCAATAATAGGAAGGAACAAGTAGTAGACCTTTTTAACAATAGAATAAGCTCTTAGTTGTTGGATGTCCATAATACCCTGTAATTTTCAGAATGCTTTTGATAAATTGTTATTTCATCCTTTTCCTGCACTTTTCAAATCCTTGTAAATGAGATAAACAGAAGAAATAATAGGTTATTTCTCTGGTGAGAGATACTTTTAAAGAATTAAACATAGAGAGCTAAATTATATTTCCAGGTTAGATGTTAGGGTGAGGTCTTAACTTTGATTCTCACGTAGTCCATGATCCCAAAATCATAGGCTCAGAGAGCACATTCTTATTGCTTAGACTTGTACATTCCCCCTCTTTGGGAATTTCCTTTTTTTTTCTGAGTGAACCTCCCATACTTTAGGTAAGTGGTGGGAAAAGTCAATTTGTCTTCTAGTAGGATAGCAGGCACTGAATCACACTGATGTGCCTATTAAACATCTATTTCAGGGATGGTTAGTTTAGTAGGTTATGTTTTGGTTTCCGAGGCTGTAGATTATGAGGCTTTCAAATGTTGTGAAGACATCATTTGTCAACTCTGGTCCAGGGTGGTGTGGGTGTCAAGGATGACTTCCAGGCATAGGCTCTGGATGGATGATGAGACTGAGGAGCAGGTTTTGGTGTGGAGGGTGGTGATCATGAGTTTAATTTTGTTCACATCGAAATTGATGTGAGGCCAGCAACTGAGTAGAGATGTCTTGTAATGTCTGGAACCTGGAAGAATGTTAAGGCTAGAGTTAAAGATTTGAGTAGAATCTGTGTATGGATGTATGTTGGTATAATGTTGCAATGTGGTTGAATGGGGAGTTGTTAGTGATAGAGATGGATCTTGACCTCATTATCCCCCAACCTCAATCATTGATTCACAAATGTGTAAAAAAGAAAAAAAGCTTTGGTAATGGTGGGCTGGAATTGATTGACTGCCAAATTGGAATATGGATTCTAATAAAAAACTTGATAATACTCATCTAGGTTTACTCAGATCATGTTTTGGAAAACCCTGAATTCAATCATGCTACCAGTGAAATCATGCATTGAGGTTCGATCTGTTATAAGTTGCTTAGCTCTTAATGGAAAACATTTCTGATTTCATCATAAATCTTAAATGTAGGTATGATAATCTCAGAATAAATTACTCAGATTTTGTTTGGGGCTGAAGTGTGAGAACAAGCTAGCTAAATCTAAAATACTTAAAAATATGAATCACTGGCACAAAAATCATGATGAAGCATACAAATGTAAAACATCTCTTTATTCACCTGTTATAGATTCATTCTCTAAGTGGTAGCAAAGGACTAGATGCTGAAATTTACTGTGGAATGACATAATCATTTTGTACTATTGCTACTTCTTTGGTTCATTAACATGTATAATGATGAATCAATTCAGGAGACAATTTCCTCTCCATTCTGAGGGTTAATTCACACCATCAGTTGTCATGTGCCAACAGAAAATGTTCTGAATCCTGATGTCTTAACACTTTAGCAATTGTAGTTGTGTTAGGTTTAGGTTAGTTGCTATCCTCACTAGTGGCACAGCTGGGAAGGAGAGGTGCAGGGAATGCAGTTACTTCCCCAAAGGACTTTGCCATTTCGGCAGTGGCATTATTTCTAAGTCCCTAAACTATAGCACTGTGTTAAAGGGGAAACCCTACTGGACAGCTTAAGACTGAAAGGTCTATGACAATTTTCAGTGCTAACATCTTTTACCTGCAATTATCAACCATGAGAATGACATTTTATTGTGTATTCCCTCTAGGGGATCTCTTAGGTAGATAACAACATCTATTTAGGTTGGCTTTGTGGCCTGTAATCTTTTATTTTGTGACAGCAATTAAGATGATTGTTTTGTGAGGGGGTGTCTCTGGAATAATAAAGATAACATCATGTTCTAGCTACAGGATGTTTAATTGGTAATCCACAGAGAGGACTCAAAGTAAAAATGAAGTAAGATTATTAAATGAAATAAGCAATAATGGCTTGTCTTTTGTGCCAACAGTGGCTTGTAAATAGAGATTTTGTCTAGAAATGTGTTCTACGTGCTTTAGACCACTGGACTTCATTGTGTCTTTCAGGTACCCTTAAGGACTGTTTGTATTCTAAGAGTGAGAAGATGCTGGGATCCAGGGATCTTGGAGCTAGAGTCATTGTTCAGTCCTTCCCAGAGGAGCCTAGTCTGGTTCAGCTGAAGGGAGTGCAGTTCCGAGACTTGGGGCAAGCTTTCCATAAACATCTGAGCTCACTTACTCTTGTGGGAACTCTGAGCGGTAAGGGACTTAGACCTCAGACTTCCCAGTTTTCTTTCTTTTCCTATTTTTAAGGCACTGCATGTACAGCCTTATATATGTGGGACTGAGGGACTTGGAATATATGGTAATATAATTCTTTATATTCTAGATAAATAGTGTTTTCCAAACACTGGTATGGCTAAATAATTCACCTGTGGAATTTATTAAAATTCATACCTACAGACTTTACCCTAACTATTTCTGGTGTAATGTGGGACTACAGATCTGAATTTTAAATATGCAAACATTATGATTCTGAAACAAGTAATTTATCCAGTAAAATTAGAGAAGCACTATAAGCACAGCACACATTCCGTGAACCATACAATCCTGTTTTTTGAATCCTGCCTCTCCCATTTATTAGCTTTGAGCCTTCAAACAGTTTTACATTGAATAGTATAAATAATCAGAATATAGAATTTCAGGCACAGCAGAAGGCATTTCTGTGTGAAATTGTCCCACTCTTCTTCCTGGTAAATGGATAAGGATTAGCTAAGATCTAGGTTCTTGTCCTGGGTATATGGAACAGGTATATAGACCTTGGTCAGAGATGAAGATACAGGAAGAGAGCAGGAAGCATAAAATCCAGGTGAGAACCACAAGATCAAAATCAGAAAAAAAGGAATATGGCCAGATGCACTGATAAAAATTCTGAAAACCAAGGTCAGAGAGATGTAGGAGCATCCAGAGTGAAAACTCAATGTCAAAGCTGACCTACAAGAAGCCATGGGTGCAGATGCTAATGAGGACAGCAGCTACATTTCCCAGTGATCCCCCATCCCCCAGCACCATGGACACTCACACATTCACACTTGGGGTGCTCAAGAGTTTCAGGGGCTGATGCCTGACAAAGGACAATAAGAAGACTTTGTGCTACAGATGGCTCTTGAGAGACACCCGAGATTCAATAGGCAGTAACAGAGTGATCTTGAGGTCATTAAAGCAAAATTCCTTGGTAGACAACATTGACATTTCTCTTCACTTTAGATCATTTGCATGGCAAGAATGTCTATCTCAATTTTCCATGTATTTATTTACTTTTTGGTTTATTCTTGCCTTGTAGGGTGATGACTCCTAATATGGCCTGTTGCCTAGTACATGGGGTCGTTTAGTGCCTGTGTGACTTTCTCTCTGGTACTTTGGTCACAAGCTGCTTATAATGCTGGAGAATATTTGATGTGGTGACTGTCTCCAGTAAATGAGAGGGTAGTAGTCACATCTAAGTTAGGAACTAGACATAATGAAAACCTTCCCTTTTTGAAAATTCACTTATTCTACCTCACCCTACTTCTGCTATTGAGTAGATGCACTTTTATATATTTGTATATAGATATTAGTTTCTATTTGAAAAAGGTTTGGGTTCTTGAAAATAACAGTTTCAAAACACTGCATCAAGATATTGTCCTCTTAAGTCCCTGTTAAAATGCAAATATGTCTCTCTGCAAATGAGGGGTAATATATTAACCCAGAGGTTAGAGACTTCTGGCATCCTTAGCAAATACTCTTTTATTATTTCATGCCCAGAAGGCCCTCATGCTCTGTGTGGCCCATTGCCATGACCAGTAGAGTTGGAAGGCATTGGAATCTTCACGTGGTACTTTAAAGGGTGTAACAGTTTCTGATCTCCACCCACAAGAGCTATTCAGACGCATCAGTACTTACTGTTGTTCAGGTGGACAACATATTCTGATGGGGCGACAGTATGGGGGAGGTTCAGAGTTAGTGAAGATCTGTAGCAAATAGAATTTCTGAGATAAATGGACATGTTTGGGTTAACTTATTGATGTGGACACTTAATAAGTGGTATGAGGGTCCCTGGCAGCAAGGGAGCTAATCGAAAGAACTGTGGAGATACAATACGGTATGGATGACATTATAGTTGAGAATTTTCTGTAGTACCAACTTCAAATTTTTCCATAAACCAACTTTTTCAATCTCTCAATAAATGACATCCGTATAGCTGTCTTTCTTACTACCTGACAACACCAAGTTCCATTTTTCAGGATTCAGTAATTAAATTATTTAAATAGTAAACTTTTGTTTTTAATGTCAATTTCCTCTATCAGACTGCGAACACAAAAATGCAGAGTCTATTTAATTTTGTTCATCTTTATATCTCCACCCCAGCAAAACGCACAGGCATATACAATCATGCACCACTTAACAATGGGGGCATGTTTTAATAAATGCATCGTTAGGTGATATTGTCATTGGGTGAGCAACATTGAGTATATTTGCACATATCTAGATGGCATAGATGAATCATACCACCTAACTTCTCACACTCAAGAGAGGTAAACATGAGAGATAAGAGGGTACTGCTGGGTAAAACAGCATATTATTTCATAGCAACCTTTTTCATTTTCTAAGTAGGAGTACACTCTAAAATAAGAGTAAGAAGCAGAGAGTTGTAAAACACACACACAATGTATTGTTATCATCATTAAGTATTATACACTGTATATAATTATATGTGATACACTTTTATGCAAGCAGCAGTGCAATCAGTAATCTTTATACCAGCATCACAGCACACAGGTACAGCATAAAGTGCTGTGCTTTGATGCTATGACAGCTACTGTGTGCCCAGGTGATAGGAGTTTCTCACTCCATTGTGATTTTATGGGACCACCATGGTTTATGCGGTCCATTGTGGACAGAAACATTGTTTGTGGTGTGTGACTTATTCACTGACTGATCCAGGTCATATAACATTATTTTAGGGTCATATATAGAGACCAGATACAGAACCAGAGAAATCATTTTCACAAATGTTCATTTCTTTTAGTATAGCTGAGTATACTTGCCTACTAACTTCATCATATTCAAATGTGAGGTCAACTTTTGAACTTGTTAACCATTTGAAATAAAAGCATCTGGCCATTTTGAGTCAGGAATATCATTGCCTGGAAACTTTAAATATTAATTTACAGCTCAAGAAATAATGACCACACTTTCTGATGTAAGACACAGTTTTCAAACATCGGATATCCATAAGCAGTGCTGTTCACAGAACTTAATGTCTTTTCTTCCATATTATGATGAAAGTTTATAACAAAGACGGTGGCCGGGTAAAAGTCCTGACTGCTGTGCTGTTTTGTGGCTTGGGCATATCTTCTCCTTTTCAGGTGATTTTCTTTTCTAACACATGATGCTTGGTTTCTAACCTGCTTATCTTTAAAGGCCATTAGTCTGAGTTGCCCAATTTCTTGATTACTGTTTCTAAACTCCTGGGTTTCATTACTGTGTGGGAAAATGCTTTCAGTGATGGCATAGCTTGCTTTGGACATGGTCAGCAAAATCAGGGAAGCTTCTGAGATCTAGCTGTAATTTACCTAATTCTTTCTTACTCAGGTTCTTATGTCCAGGGCTGCACAGTGAGGGACTCCTTCAGCAGAGGCCTCAGCATGTACAGGACTCAGGGTCTGAGAGTGGACAGTAATGTGTTTTACAAGATTTCAGGTCATGCACTGCTGGTGGGTAAGTAAAATGAGCTTGTTTAATTTCTGCATTCTTGAGTAGGACACATAGTTTTTCACAAGAATTATCTGAAAATGTTGACTTTCTGACTTATAAAAACATTGGTCTTCTGATCATTACAAATAAGCTGTAATTTAAAATTTAAACTTAGTCATCATTGATTGGCTTACTACACTTTTCAGTAGGAAACTGATATTTTAAAAGGTTCACTTCATAATGAGAACACATGATAGGTAAAGTTTTAAAATTCACTGCCAGAGCCAGGTGTAGTGGTGCACACCTATAATCCTAGCTAGGTGGGAGGTAGATGTAGGAGGATTGTGATCTGACTCCAGCTCGGCCAAAAAGCATGAGATCGTATTTGAAAAATAAAACAAAAGGGGATGGAGGGCATGGCTCAAGTGGTAGAGTGAAGTACATGAGGCCTTTAGTTCAAACCCCAGTACCAACAAAAAAATTTACTGCAAGAAAATTTAACAGTAATTCTAAGTTGCATGCATATGTCCATGTACGGTCTCAGGTTGTCAAATTTGGATGTTGGCTAAGGATTTAAAAGCCATCAATTCTGTCCTCCACTGTTTCTGTGCCTTGCTGAAGAAGACCATGTTTCAGAATCTTCTCATCGATTACCTGCTTCCACCTTTGTTTCCTAATGTTCATTGCAAACCCAGAATTAATCCTATAAGCTCTTCTATTCCATCGTGGACTGCCTCTTCTTAAGACCCTATAAGAGTTTCTTTTGCTGTTAGACTACAATTCTAAAGTTTTAGTTTGGCTAAAAAGGCTCCGTTAAGTGATTGTTCCTCTGTTACTTTCTGTAAACATGTCTACCTCTTTTTCTTTCCCTGATTACTGTACTGATGCTGATCTAGTTTATATTTTCGAAAGACCACACTTTCTTTTCCTGCAAGGCCTTTGCATAAGTTATTTACCTTGTTCAGGTCTCTCATTCTCCACCTACAAGAGCCTTTCTTCTGAGTTTCTGTTTAAGCTCTTTACTCACCAACCAGCACTTTTTGATTTACAATTACATATCACATTTATGGCCATCTGATTAATGTCATTTATCACCAGATTCCATGAGGACATTATTTCCTTAGCACTTAGCATGTTAACTAGTGCACTGTGAGCCCATTAGTTGAAAGGAATGAACAAATTAATGAGCAAAGGGTCTCTGCTTATATTAGAAAAAAGAAACATATCAGAGATTTTCACTGAAAGTAAGAATGTGACTATATTTGTTAGTGTTTTTCATTTAAATGAACTTGGTGATATCAGTGGGAAAATGTATTTTTCTTTTAAGAACAATCTGTTTAGATAAAAGTGACAAAGATTCTAACCCTGAGAGGGAAACTGTTTAGTCAGGGAATACAGAGATCATATGATCTTTTTTAAAAAACAAACTTCAGCTCTAAAAGGCAGAACTAAGATACTTGAGGTGGTGGGGTGCAGAGATATCTTTTGATTAGTAATGGACTTCCGCAGGGAAGTTAGAGTAACAGATGTATGCTTGACTTTCTTTATTCTCACTTCTGTCTGTGTAAGGGAAAGGGTGAAACCTCCAAAAGAAATTGAGGATGGTATCCTAACAATTTTATTTTGGCAGGAAACAATAATGTAAAATCATTATTAATCAGGCAAGAGAAAAAAATCTATAGGAGGAATTCAGTATTTAGTCCTTGGATATTGTGAATTATAGGGTTTTGGCATCTATTGTATTGTAAATGAGGGAATTAAAATATTTGCTTATCAATGAACTATAGATAAAGTACTCTGTCTCATGCCTAAAAATATTTGCAAACCCAGACCTGTGAAGCAACACAGGAAGTTCAGAGAGATGAAGCCATTAAGAGGACTCATCACTCCCTATTGACACCTCTCAAGTGACTCACCGTCATTTGTCTGTGCATACTCTCTCTTCTAGTCCATCCACATTGGGATGAGGGTCCATGGTGCTGTCTAGCCAGTTCATCCAAGACATCTCTGATCTTTTGGAAAAGAGGGGGGCATGGAGTCTGAATACCTAGGGATGAGGCTGGGCTGACACAGGTTGTGAGATAGTCACTCAGACTCTAAGAAGTAAAATGTAAGATCTTCTTCTCTGATTTTTTTTTAAAGTGAACTTCTGACTCATGATACTCTAGAATTAACAAGTCAACATGATCTGTATCTCTTTGTCTGGTTCATAGGTTAAAAACAAAATCAAAACAATACCCAAAGAAGAAATAGTGTTGTACTGTCCCTTGCTTTCTTGAGTAGAATCAAATGTGCTAAAGTAATATGGTCTTTGTTCTCAGGGATGCACATGGAGATGAGACACCCCTCTTGGGAGACTATTCCTGGAAGAATACATGGTAAATATGCAAATTGGATTTATATATATTACAGCCCATTTATAATTGTCATATATTTTGTATTTAGACCTGATGGCAAAATGTTTGCGCATACAAAATTTCTAAAGACATGTACATATATAGATACATATATATATAAATCAAGTATATTATGTGAACTAAGATATGTATTAGTAGAATCAAGGGCTGAGTAATGATTGTGAATCCTCTGGGTTTGATTTATCTTGTTTTTTGAATTAGATTGGTCAGAACAGGGAAATATAATAAGAAACAATGTCATCATCAGTGTTTCTGGTGCCGAGGGGCTCTCCAGTCCTGAGGTGTTAACACCGTCTGGCATCTATGTCCGCACTCCCACCACTGTAATAGAGGTAAGAGCTTCAGTCTCACCAGTGGGGTCAGAGCTGAGGGGCATAAAACTCTCTCCAAAAGTTCCCTGAGAAAGCAGCTTCCGTGATACGGTTTGAATTGTTTGTTTGGTACATATTAGTATCAAGAAATTAATTTATGACTGTGGTAAATAAGCACTCTAGGATAAACTTAATCATCTTTTCTCGGGATTCCCATAAAAACTCTTTGAAACATCTACATGGAACAAAATAAAGTAGATTTTGATCACTTTCTGGTCATTTATATTAATGTGAACTAAAATATCTCCTTGAATTATCCACTCTGGGTGATGATTTTCATCTCTATTGATTCCAATATGAATTACTTATTACACCTTCCCTATCTTACTGTGTTCACATGGCCATATTGTACCTTTTAAGAATGTTCAAAACTGCATTGGGAGGCATTTGGTATCATATCAGATTTTAGGAGAATGCGGTATACTTCAATGATAGTGATTTTTTAATCACATTATTTAGTACAACTTAATATTAATTTCTCTTGATAAAATTTAACCACTTCATGAAATTAATTCTTCTGGATAAAGTTTAACCATGGATCTGAGTGGGGAATTGCACCAGAAGAGTGAAAGGCCACTTAGTTTCTCTCTTTCTGGTTATTTTCCCCGATGGGCTGTCTGTGGAAGGGTGTGAGGGCACCACTCTTCTAGGATGTGGTTCTGAGATCATGATATTTACGTGAAGCTTCTGGGGAATCAGAGGATGAGCCGTTTCTCACTGATCATCTGTTTTTAATTATCTTCCACTAAATAACCTCTAATAAAAGTTGTGGTTATCTGTTCAACCCTCCTTAGACTCTTCATTGTGTTGGTTCCAAGTACAGCACTTACACATCATTTTAGGTGCCTAATAGGGATGGGTAATATACCAGTGAGGAAAGGAGGCAGAACTGCATGCATTGTAAGAAACCAACTGTACATGAGTTGCCTTTTACTTGGTCAGGACAGGGTTAGGCCAGCAAGCTTTGGGCTAAAGAATCATTCCTTGGTGTGCTCTCTTGGGTAACATGATCTTGACTACAGTGAGACTCCTACACACAAGTGAACAATCAGGGTTTCCCAGCTTATCTTCCTTCAGGGGACTGGAATATCTCATAATACCTTACTTGAGGGTGGAGCCCTCTGTCCCAGGCAGGTGTCCTGCTCACTGACTGATAGGTGCAGTGGATTAGAGGGCCATGTATAAAGCTGATGGGTCACTTGAGTCTTTGTAGACTGACCTACAGAACAATACCCAATCAGCAATAGAAAAATGGAATCCATAACTAGCTGTTTGCTCCACCCCACCCCCGATGCCTTTCATTTCTGTTCATTTACTTCCTTTTTTTATATCTACTTCACAAAAATTTTAAAAGATATAATGCATGTGTTTTGAGAAATGTGGTTTTAGGGTGAGTTGGCAGTGCAGATTCATTAGGTATGTTCCTGACATATTTGTCTTTGATGACATTAAAATTCTATAGTTCTCTTATTAGCGTTTTAGGTTTTAGACCCTAGCACAATTGTCTAAAATTCTCAGCAAAAATGCATTGAATATACTAAATGAAGGTATAGTTTCATAACCAAAGAATGGGAATGGAGGGGAGAAACAGGAAAATAAAGAACAGGTTCTAAGATTTCAAAATCATCCTGTGGACTGAAGAATAAGAAGTGTAATCAATGGTGTCTTTTAGATCCTGATGTACTCATCTGTCAGTATTAAATCTTGCAAGGTCCAGCTCAATTTTTCAGCTGTGCCACTGTTTTTCTGCTCTTCTGTGTCTCCATTACTATGGACATAGGTGGTAATTAGACATATGTGGAAAAATCTAAAAGTTATGAGCTTTCCTGTCCCTTGGGGAAGTTCATTTCAGTTATTGAGCAAGTGATAAGTTAATGTTTATTGAGTGTGTTCTGTGTGGATGGTACATGGAGTATCTTGAAAATCTATTCTAGAAGAATATATTCTAGAAATACACCTTTGTACCACAGGGATAATATGGAGACTATAAGCAGTAGTGATTTGGATATGTTATGTGTGTAATACACAGCACTTTAAGAGATGCAGTAGAAGGGACCTACCTATTCAGGGTAGTCCTTATCTACAGGAAAGGGAGATTCCTTTCCTCTGAGGAGCAGTTTTCAGGGTAGTGGCTTTTCTATCTTGATATATGACTAGTTCAAGGTTGGATTACCCCTTAAAGGAATTTACTATAGCTTTCTATGTCACTGTATGGCTGTGATTAATTAGGATTATTTTTATTATTTTAAACTTTTAATTTTGAAAAAATTTCAGACTCACAGAAGTTGGAAAAATCTAACAGAGTTCCTGTGTGCCCTTCCCACTTCCTCCAATGATAGTATAACCATGACCATGGTCATAGAATAATATCAAAATCTAGATATTACATTGATGTGGTATTAGTAACTGAACAACAGTTACCATTCAGATTTGAAGGGGGTGGCCCAATCCTCACATTTAGCCAACTAACCAAGAAAGCATAAAATCTCTTTCTCCATACACATCAGATTGTCTATAATCTTTAGCCTGATAGGCAGGGAACAGTTCCTTAAACCTATAAAACAGTTAGTGGCTTTATAATATTCACAAATTGTCTTGACCTAGAGCCTAGGACCAAACTCTCAGCAACAGCCATAAGGAATTCACCTTGGTTCGCAGTCAGGTACCTTTACAGTCCACTCACCTACAACTCTGCACAGTACAAAGGAATTTTAAGGGAGATAACTCTTTTTAGTTTTTTTCACACCCATATGTAGTCTGCTGCAGCTGAGCTAAGTCCAGGGCAGTTTTTCTGAGAAGAAAAATCTGAGTTCTGTTTCTTTTTTTTTTCTTTACCAGTGACAACTTAGGTGTTATAACTGTGATACCCTTGGAGTCTCCAGGGGGCTAAGGTATTTCTTTGTATCCTCCTTTATAGGTTTTTGCCATGCTTTGCAAAAAAAGACTGGTGGTGGATCCTCTATGTATTGCTATAGCTTCATGAGCACTCCATGTTTAGTCTGTCTTCTCTCAACAACTCCAGCCCCTTTCACAGGGGTTCCTCGCAAGTGTCCAGAGGTTCTGTCTTTTTAGAGTATATAACCTTCATGAACTTTTTCTCGGGCTGGAGAGGCTGTACTCAGAAGCAGCAGGGGACAGTCCATGTCCATAGCCCCAGAGTTTCCCATGTTTGTGTAGGTGTTGGAAACTGTCTTTGAGCAGACTCCTATTTAGGATAGTCCGTGAAAAAACCCTCAAGAAGAGCCCTTTGGAGACATCCATTTAATTTTGGGGGAATTTGTTCTGGTTTGTAAATCAATTTTGTAAGGAATTCTGTGTTTAAAGCCCAGCCCCAGTTCTCTAGCTCTCCCCACTCAATAGGTAATGCATATTTAAGAGCTGCCTGAAGGGTTAACTCACTTTTTTTATTCTAGCGACTACAGATGCACACCTCAAGGAGCTGGCTTACTTGGGCAGTTAATTTCTCTCTGGAATTTCTCTTGCTTGAATGTCCATAATACATTGACTTCCGCAAAGAATTGATTTCCACACAGAATTCCCTGCTTGCCTTAAACCCTTCCCCACAAGCTGCTGGCTGCCTGCATAAATACATGGTTTCCTTGTGAATCATTTGTAGCATACCCAATTGGAATTGAGAATAAAAGGGCCAGGAAGTAATGTGATCTGACTGTTGATGCGCTTGTTTTATAAGAAAAGTGAGCCTTATCAGTAAACATAGGGCCAAAGTTGCAATCTCCTGCCCAACTCTGAATAGACTTGGACAGCATTTATGTGTGATTGTTCAGATGTCCCAAAAGTGCTAATGGCACTAGGGCAGATGATTCAACATATCTTTTCATTCACTGAAAATATATTCTTTATGCATACCAGTGCTGGAAACAGTGATCAATAAGGATGTAGCTGCTGGAATGCATTTTTCAAATGAACTTTCTACTTCCTATAAAGTCTTGGTAATTGATGTTCACTGCATTCAAGGTGATGAAATAGACATGTGTCCAAGTGAGTTGGTCCCTTTTTGCCAGCGGTGCACATATTTCATTGTTTGTATACTTGCAGAAAATGTAAAAGAGCCCCCTTTTCTGACCTTTGGTTCTTATACATCTCTGGATCATATATCTAGGACACAGCCACTGGGGGCAGGTTATATGAAGGTGCAGTTTCGCATGTACTGTGCTGGGAAAAGTTTTACTTGTGTCATCATTACTGAGAACAATAGCTATGGTATTTATTTGTGTATCTTTGAGGGCTGAAAAGATGTATTGTTTTTTATTTGCCAACTGAGAGACAGAGTTTCTTCCTAAGGTTGAGAATCATTAGTACATATCTTGTTTTCCAGCAGAGATAAGGATTGAGATAACTATTTAATGTTCTTTTTTGAGAATGCCTAATGCCAGGTTTGTTAGTTTTAAAAAGATATAAATACTCTCCATGTAAAAATTATTAATCATTCTTACTATAAATCATCATGTACTCATATTTAGTTTGGAAATATGAATTCCAGCAAAATTTGGAGATGGGATGCTATAAGGTGGTTGTGGGGTGTTTTGATGACTTATAACTGCAGTACAAACTGTAGACCGGTGTTTTGCTGCTGTGATATTAGTGAAATTTTGGGCCGGGTAATTCTTTGTGGTGGACTGTGGTGGATGCCCTCTGCAGGTGTCTGGTACCTACTCACAGAATGGTAATGGCGCTTTACTCCACCCTGAATTGCGATAATTAAAAATGTCTCTGGAGATTTGTTCCTGGGGAACAAAGTGACACCTGGTGACCCCCTACTACTGGTCCCTCAAGATCATTAATATCCTAGAGATGGCCTGGATTCCCTGAAGTCCTGTTACCATCTTGAATAGTAATTCAACTTAATATTCAGTGACATCCAGAAGTCACTTTTGCTGAGTACCACGTGGCTAGTTACACATGTGAGTAGAATTGTAAATGGCCTTGGGAAATTGGAGAACTGCTCAGACTTCCAAATAACAAACTGCAGGAGAGAATGGACCAACTAGTCCACAAAGGGAGAAAACACTCGTAACTGAGCAAAAAAATGAAGAATGGCTGTCTTATTTACAAATTCCCAGAGTAAACAACCTTTGGTAACCATAATAAAATAACAAATTAAAGATAAATAAATAGCACGATAACCGTGTCAACATGTGCTGGCTCCCCTGACCAGGTCCTAGCTGCTGCCTGCAGGTCAGGCCTGCATTCTCAAGGGAAGCTCTGGCCCTAACTCATACTTCTTCAGAGACGAAAGGCTCTGTGGATGGGGCGGCAGACACTCCTCTCTTAGGACGTGCGGAGTTCAGTATTGTAGGTATAAAGCAACCTACTTTAGGGTTTATTTTCCACATGTGAGCTTTGCTTGGCCGTGTGTATGTGTGTCTTGCAGAACATGAGGCACATCCAGAGAGAAAAGGATCTTTAAGTTCCTTCTCTGTGAGGATGCTGCTACATTGTTACTACCGGGGGATCCCCTAGCTTTAGAGAGGCATATTTAATAGACCTAACTCTGTCGTTTTATTTGGATTTAAAGTCAATAAAAATATTGCTCTAGAATAACTGAAACCATAAGGTGAAATAAGTTTACTAAACCTGAAGAAAGTACTGAGCAGCTACAAGTAAAAGGGCATAAATACACTGGAGGAGGAGGAGGGCTCTGAAATCCCAGCATTAGAGGGATAAAAACATCACGTCTACCTCCTGCCTCCTGTGGGAAAATGTCATACGTCCTTACCCATGTGTCCCTCTGTGCACTTTGAGCCAAACATGCTTTTCTCTCTATGTGACAAAGTAGGGGGATTATATATTCTCTGGGTTTTTGGTGTAAAAAGAGAAACTCCACAGTTAAATTTGTCCTAAAGCTTGCTCTCTAATTTAGGAGAAATCTATGTTTATGTAGCAAAATCAAACACTTTACCCAGTTCCATCCACCTGGCTACCTGGCCCCTGAAAGGCTAACTTACACTTTTTCCTAGTGACTATCAATGTACAAGTTAAGGACCTGGTCTACTTGTACAGTTAATTTCTCTTGCTTGAATGTCCATGGTACATTGATTTCTGCAAAGAACATTGTTCAATTTGTTAGGTCCATTACTGAGGCGGCCACAGAAAAAAATGCTGATTCTTCCCTTAACTTGGCAACAGGACCTTGCTTTGTACTCTACTCTTTATGACTCTTTACTTTCACACTGCTGTTTGGCATCCTGGCTCTAAATCCTGTCTTCATTCCTCTATCTTAGGCTACGGTCTTGGATATTTCCAGACTTGAACTTGGATGGAGTTTGCTCTGACAATTATCGATCCTGTGACCTTGAGAAAGTTACTCAATTTCTCTGAACTTTAGTTTCTTCGCTGTGTTAATTGTAATAGTCATACATAGGTCACAGAATTGTGAAAATAAACAAAACTTTTAAATCTGGTACCTGCACTATAGTGACTTCTCTATAAATCTTCACTGCTTGTGTTATTAGTATCCTTGGTCATAACTTTCTTAAAAGATAAGGAAAAGTAGATAATTCAACCTATGTGTCCCTTTCACTAAGCTGGAGAATCTTTTTGATCAGGATCTAGTGACAGATCCACCCCTCCACACCCCGATTTTCTCTTTTTCCTTCTTCAGTTCCCAGCAGTGACTTTCATTTGCAGTTGATTTGCAAAGTAAACCAGGACTGATTCATCAGAAAATGGAGCCTTTCTCATGTCTCTCTTTGAACATCTTTTAGTTTCTTGGAGGAAGGAGAATGAAAAACTTTTTGGTTCCATGTGAGTGGAGGTGGTGGTAGTGGTGGTGGGGAATTGAGTCCAGAAAAATTTCACCATACCTTGACAAGAAGAGAAGAAAAAAAAGTAGAAAATGCAAGTAACAGTCATTCTTTTCAGCAATTTAACATTTTTTTTTTAACAATCCTTAATTTCTGTAGAGGAACAGGGTGTGTGCTGCTGGCTATGGCTACTTTTTCCATCTTGTGACCAGGCAAACATCGCAAGCTCCACTTTTCTCCTTCACTCAGAACATCGCGCATTCTTGTACAAGGTAACATTGGGAAAATGTTGGTAAGATGCTTGTGACCGAACATATTCCTGAAGAACATTCACAAATAGGGCATAACTTTTGGCATTTCTTTGACATTTGATGATACTGTAGTATACTTTTAAGCCACCTTATTAGAGTTTGGTTGACATCTAAAATGCTGTGTGTACAACCTGGTATGTTTGGAGATAAGTATACACTATGAAACCAACACCATAATCTGCACCCCAAACATATTCATTACCTCTAAAAGTCTTTTTTCTTCCTTCTTTATTATTTAATTATTGTGGGAATGCCTGACATAAGACATAACCTCCTTGCAAAATTATAATACAACATCGCTAATTACAAGGACGATGCTGAATACTATATTGCTAGGACTTATTGATCTTGCATAGATGGAACTTTGTGCCCTTTAACTAATTCCTCCCAGGTTTCTGCCCTCTGAAGCCACTGGCAGCTACTATTTTACTCTTCTTCTATCACTTTGAATGTATTAGATTTCTGAATAAATGTAGTGTTTTTTTTTTCTTCTGTGAACAGTTAGCCTCATCCAGACAATATCCTGGATATTCATGGTAATAGCATGAATATTACCATGAAATAGCAAAATTTCTTTTGCTTTTGAGATTGAATAATATTACATTGTAAGTGTATCTCATATTTCCTTCCTTCCTTCATCATTTGTGGACACTTAGCTTCTTTGTCTTGGCCATTGTTTCTGTGTAAGCATTTTGATTATAAAAGTTTGGTGGTGAAGGGAAGAGAAAAGTGTCACTTGAGAAGCCAGCAGAACAGAACATCCCTTTTGTAGCTAGAGAGAATTCAACAGAGACACAAGTGAATTTCCAAGGGATTGAGAACAACTGATAACGCAGGGACCTTGGGAGGCTAGTGGGCCTGGCTCAGGAGCTGAATGGAGATCAGGCTTGAAGAAGCAATATTTGCCAGTGACTTGGTCGTTGCAAGAAGAAAGGAGACTTGCTCAGACTTCGTAATGTACAGGGTAAGACCATCTGCTAAGAGAAAAGAAAGAGAAAACAAGGTCAGCGTGGGGTGGAGTATTTGAGAAGTATGACCAAGATGCTAACTTTACAGCCAGTCAGTCTCTGATCAAATCCTAACTCTACTCTTAGTAAATTCCTTCTTTTATTTTTTAATAGCCCTATTTGTGAAATGGGGACAAGTCTACATTGAAAGTTTGGTGTGAAAATTAAAGATTATATGTACAGTATACCAAGGAGAGTACCTGGTACTCAATAATTGATTGTATAAAAAATTATGATAATAGTAATTTAGTAATGCTGTCATGACGGAGAATGATAACAAGAGTAGAGAAGGATTATCAACAACTGCTAAGCAATGTTGAAGTGCTAGTGAGGCTGGGATTAGTATATGTGTGATGTATTTGTCACCATGACCATGACATCTTTATCCAGCAGCTGTTGGCAGTCCTGGAATATAAGGAAAGAATGTAGCCCTACCTATATAGCAGTGGTAGGGCATTCCAGGTAGAATAATAAAAAGTGAAGGGATTATGAGTGCTGGACCATCCTCCTGAGATGGGGTGAATTTTGGAGGGCTTGGTAGAATATAAGCAGCAGGCCATCTACATTCTGTGAAGATCTAGGCTCAGGTCACAGAGGGTGGACTGGCTGTGGATGAGCTAGGACAGTCAGAGAGGAGGGATATACTCCCATGTTCACTATCTTTATATCTGATAAGGGGTTAAAGTCTGGAATATATAAGGAACTCAAACAACTCAACAGCAAAAACCCCAAACAATTCCATTTTGAAATGAGCAGGAGCCCTAGAGACATTTTTCAAAAAGAAGACATGCAAGTGACTAAAAAGTACATGAAAAAAATGCTTTAAATCAGCAATCAGGGAAATGCAAATCAAAATAATAGTGAAATATCACTTTGTAGATATTAGAATAGCCGTAAACAGAAAGACAAGCGATGGTGAGAATGTGGAGGAAAGGGAAAATGTGTACACTATCGGTGGCAATATAAGTCAGTGCAGCCATTATGGAAAACAGCATAAAGAATCCTGATAAAATTTAAAATAAAACTATTGTGTGATGCTGCAATTCTGTGACTAGTTATATACCCAAGGGAAATCAAGTGAGTTTGATGAAGAGATATCTGCACTATCCACAATAGCTAAGAAACTGAATTAATCTAAATGTCAATCAACTTATGAAAGAAGAAAATATCACACACACACACACACACACACACACACACACACAGAAGAATTATTCAACCCTAAAAATGTGGAATCACATGGATGGAACAAGTCAGACACAGAAAGACAAATGCCATATGATCTCTTACATATAAAATCTACAAAAGTTGATCTCACAGAAGTTGAGAGTAGAATAGTGGTTATCAGAGTCTGGGAAGAGTAAGGAGGTCGAAGATGGAGAAAGGTTGGTCAAAAGTTACTACGTTATAATGAGACAAAATAAGTTTGTTCTATCACACAGTAGAGGGAGTACAGATAATAATGTATTGTACGTTTCAGAAGAGCTGGAAGGATTTTTGTGTATTCTCATCATAAGGAAATGATAAATGTTAAGGAGTTAAGTATGCTTTTATTAATTTTAACATTACACAATGAATACATGCATCGATGTACCACATGGTAAATAAATATATGTGATCACTATACATAGATTAAAAATAAAAAGACATGTTTAAGACCTTTTTTAAATCCAGTGAGAAAAAGTGGGGTGTTAGGAACATATCAATTGGCTTAATTTCTTTTTTTGCTTTACTTTTTAGGTACGGTCTCTTTGTGTATCCTAAATTTCATCCACCTTGGAATTATGACACTGGCCCTTCTCTGTTACAAAACTTCATGGTTTGGGGAAGTGCAGGTGGTGCCAAGGTAAGTTTCTTAAGGTTTAAAAAATTATAAGTGTTACTTGTGTTCTCCATCAGTGTATCACACATCTCTATTTAAAGGGGAGTAACTTGCTGGTAAGGGGAGCATTGTGTTGTCAGCACAGTTTCAGAGAGTCATTGTCATCACATTTATGTGGAATGTTCGTTGAGTGAACAAGTTGTCTGTCAGCAATCTAGGGTTGTGTCATTTCCTCTATGCCACTTTTTATAGTCCTAGTACAGAATTTGACAGTGGATATTTATAACCAGGAGAGATCTATTGTAGAGATTCATCCATTCTTCCTTTCTTGTTCCTACTTATAGGTAACAAATTCAGGATCAGAAAGTAAAGGGACTTGTCAGATGTTCAGAGTTGATTAGTAGCACAACCAGATGCAGAATCCAGGAAAAATGTACATTTGTTACTCTAATATCATGAATGATACATGCTTCTGTCTTCAGAAAAAGCACAGTTCATCATTAGAACACAATTCCAGTTCAAGCTGGCATTCTTACTTTAATCTAGAACAGAAAAAGTTTAATCATTTCCTTTTTCTTATTGCAATGGTTTTCTTATAAGGAATCATTGCCTGCTTGTTGTTAATAGTAACATATAAAAAATAGTTCAGGGTCACTATTCCATGCTATCTCCCCACAATACATACATTTGATCCCTGTGGCTTAGAAATCTGAAACCTTCAATATATGGATGAAGAGTTATGTTTACAGAGCATTCAGGAACCAGAACGAAAACAAGAAATTAAGTCACAGTTCAAAAGTCGAACATTTATTTCACACATCCCATAAGAGGAGGACAATTGTGAGCCAGGAAATCCCCCCAAAATATAATTAGAATAGCTAACAGGAAGACTCACAATCATATTCAGTATTTTGTTTTCATTTAGTTTTTATGAAATACTTTGTTTCCCATAGCACTATGAACACAGAGGTGACTAATCACACAGAAACATTTGTGAAGAGCCCTCCTATGCAGAAAATCAATTCATGCCTTGCAGAGGCTTAAGCTTTGTCTCCCTGCTGTTGGGTAGTCTTCTTCTACAGGAAATCACCTAATGAAGCAAAAATACTAAAAGGTACTTACTAAAGTCAGGTTTTTTTCAGGGTCTATAGAGCCCTCCAGTTGAACTCTTATGGAGTCAACTGGGCATGGTGGTGCAGACCTGTAATCCCAGCACATGGAAGGCATTAATAAGTATCTTTTAGTAGCACCTAGAGGCTCAGGACCATCTCATAATGAAAGATGCATTTAGTCCATCTCCAACAATCTCCAGAGTCTTAATATTTCCATCATTTCCCAAAGCCCTAGTTCAAAGTCTCACATGAAGCTCAAAGGCAACTCTTAGCTGTGAGCCTTTGCAAAAATCAAAAATCAAGTTATAAACTTCCAAGATGCAATGGCACATAGGAAACAGTTGCATTCTAAAAGGGAGGAATAGGAGAT